TATTTTAATGCTATCTAATCTATTAAGAGAAATCTACACAATCACGTCATCATAAAATGCAACTCTAAATTGAAATTCTTTCATACAATTATCAAAATTCTTGTTCATTTTTTAATCATTTTCTAAGGGTCACATACGTGAAACCAAGCTAGCAAAGTGTTGCTTCCATTATTTTGTCCTTTTTAAAATAATATTTATCAAATACGATTATATATTCTTTGTTAACCTTTAGTTTTCCCATACCGTCATATATTTTATGCTTCTTACTTAAGGTTTAACTTCTTTTAAAAAATCAAGAGCTAGTTAACAGTTTAAGACTTACTCTATATGATGGTATATATGATTGTGTGTATTTGTTAAAGTTACTTGCATTTAGATCATAACTAAATCGATAGCAGATATCAGAAAGAGCAGATTATCAGATATCGATTATAGAACAATCAATTTCACATGTTTCACTAATTTATATTCTAGTTATATATTTATATCAATGTTAATATTTTTATTTTTGTAGTTGCATGATTATATATTTGTAAATTAAAAGTTATGTGGTATATATAAAATACTACAAGGATTTAGACAACCTCTATAAATAGCCATATACAAGATCTATATTTTATTTATATGTACGTACGTATATATATGATACATATAATATATAAATTACTACATATTACATATATGTATTATACAGAGAGACCGTATTGTCTCGAAATAACGCCTGGCCATTATTTCACGATGATACAGTAAATGCATCCATCTAGTTGAACTCTTTGCAATGTGCATTTAGAGGACAATGAGAAAAATCATATTTAAAAAGGTTAAGCATATATTTAGGCCAGAGTTTACTAATATATTTATGGAAATAATATATTTAATGAGAATGCATTTAAAGATTTTTTGTATTTTGGCAGAATTAATTAGTATGCATTTTGAGCTACATACATATGTACATAATGAAATCCATTAATCAATGCTCATATTACTAATTTATTAATTTTATTAATTGTAACTTTCATGCATTGATCTTTATTAGGACAGTAGAAATTAATATATATAATTTCTTTTATTTTTTAATTTGGATAACTTTTAAAGCTGTATCTTATTACAAATATCCTAACTTTTCTTTTAATAGCCCATCATCCAGGAGCGAAGATATTGTGCCGCTCTTATGGTTTTGGGTGTTAACCTAGATCTCTTATCTATTATCATATTTCTACTAGTGGAAAAAGTACATTTAGATGCAACGGAAGATACGGGGATTGTGAGGTAATCACTAGCTATATGAGCAAGACGAAAAAACTGTATTTGGTATGTCTAAATATTATATTAATATCAATATTACTTAATAAGCCTCCCTAAATGATTTTCTTTAAATGCATTGCCATCATAAATATATTAGTAATAGTAAACTCTGGCCCAAATATATGCTTAACCTTCCTAATATGATTTTTAGCCCAGACGTAAAATATTTACTATCACTTATTTTTCACCATATTAACATATTTGTTTCTTTATTTGCCAGTTTTTCAGAAATGTAGCCCTCAATTTTATCAAATTCTTCATTATTTTCATCGAAGTCTTCATTCAACATTGATCGTGTAGTTGATTTTATGATACTGTTAGTACTTAAGATATTAGAGATGACAACAGGTATATATACTATTTCAAAAAGATTACGCATTCTAAAAAAGAAATTTATATAAGTATAAAAAACAAAATTCTTAAAAAAAAAAAAAAAGAAAATTGGTATTTTCATACCCTCAAAGTAAATAAATTAAATAAAAAAGTGGTGGCAGAAAAATTTCGCAATCAGGTGATTGTGACCTAATCAATGATCAACTGATTTAATATTAATAATATAGTAATACACAAAATGTGCTTTTAAGTAGCGATTTGGTTTAGAAAGTTCATCCTATTTCACTTGATATTATATTCTGGCTGCATCATAGGTTCAGACTAGAGATGTGCCATATACAGTACGCACTATACGTACTGTATGCAAAAAAAATTCAGGTATCATATAAATAACACAACACTAGTTCAGACCATGAATTTGTTTTTGCCACATTTTTCTATCTAATAAATTGATAAAATTTCTTGATTAATAGGCTAATAAGGATGGTCAGTCAGGCAAATTGTACCCGAGTTTCTTACATTCCTTGGTCTTAAAATTGATTAGTCCCTTTTCTGTGACTGGCAATTTACTATTTAATTTGATAAAATCGATGATAGGTAGGTATTTTAATAACAGATAAGAGGTATGATTTGCCACAAATTATGGTATATATTAATTTAAAATAAAAATGCTATCTTAATTATACGATTTATTATAAGAATGTGAAAATAGTTAAATAAAAATAATAATTTACAGAGCCTTTGTTTCATTAATTTCATGTTCTGGAAATTCTTTTTTGGTAAAATATTAGAACTTCCTTCTCGAATCTAAAGCCAAGCATAATATAATAGTTGCATTTGTTTTAGAATAATAATGTACAAGTTTTTCTCTCGCCACCGTAGCCACTATAAAAAGTAGTAAAACTAAATAATTAAATTATTTATAAATAAATATTGTAAATAAAATTATAGTAGTCTCCTAGACTATTAAATATAAGAAAGAAAAATTCCTACATATGCATATACAGACCAAACATTATACATGTCTTTAATTCAAAAATAACTTTATTGTTACGAAATAGAAAATTTACATTTGTAAAGCTATTTTTGAGATAAGACCCCATATAAAAAATCATGAAAAATTTAATAATTAACTTTTTGTTTTCATATTTGAGATTACGTCTTCCACGTGATTGAGAATTATATTGAAAAGAGGAATGATCCAAAAAGTCGTACAGTTTGTTTCAGATGATATTTTGGTCATAAGATCCTTAAATGGTTCAAGAAATTTAGCAATTTCTTCTAAGACAGCCCATTGATTATGTGAAATAGCATAATTATGGAGATCGTTATAAGAGCTAGTAAGAAAATTAAGCGCCTACAAAATTTATTATTAAAATTATCTCTAAATACTTAACCAGATAATAATTTGTTATAGTAATAATTGCTAATCCTAAAATATAACTATAAATTATCTCAAATACTATCTGCAGATATAACAAGAAGAGGCCAAGTAATTGATCTATATGAAATTAGCTCTTTATAGCAGAGATAAATAATATATAGTAAACGATGGCCACTTAATATATCCTACTTTACAGAGTATAAAATTATTGTCCCTGCGTATAACTAAAAGTGCATTTATAGGGTCCGCTAAATCCTTGTATCCACGTGAATTTTTTATGTAGATTCTGTTTATGGTCATCCTGAAAAAATAAAAATAAAAAAATATGAAAAACGGCAGTCTAAACTTGTCTTGGTACATTAATAAAAAAATGCCAGAAAGAGAATTTTATTTATATGCTTGCCCTTTCCCTAACACTAAACTAACCTAGACCTAATTGCAATTAAAATTTCAAAAGTCACGTAGGTACAAGACTTTAGCGATCTCCATTATATATATATTTGGGCTTGAATTTGAGTATGCATTTAGAGTGTGTATATACTTATAGAGGGTATACTTATAGAGGTTTTACTGTATATGAATTAAATATGACTTACTGGTTTAAGAGATAGCCTATTCTTGATCATATTATAAGTGGAGTTCTACCTAGTAGGACAATTTAGAATAGGTTTATAAAATTTGATATTACACACATTATATGAATTTTTAAGAAGCTCAAGATGTTGAGGTGTTATACGAATAGCGGCATTGAGGTTTCGAATCTTAATTGTTATTTTATTAGTATAATAAAAAAAAATTATGGTAGTTAGCTTTTATAAGATTTATATTGACACCTTGCAAATATACTTCTTTATTTGATCTAAAGCTGCTTGTGCTGCCAAATTAAGAATATGATTAAAGCAATAAAATCGAAGATGTTTTGAATTCTATTTAAAGTTCGCTTCTTCTCTTAACTTCATTTCTAATTCACAAACAAAGGTATCATTATTTGCAGTATTGTCAAGGGTGATGACAAGAAGCTAACAAAAAAAAAGAATACATACTTCAAAATGCTATTCAAAACTATTATACAATTTGATGAGTAGTATATATAAATCGTATAAGTAATTTCAAATAGCACTTGAAGCGTGACATTCAATACTTAAATTAATTAATTGTGATCAGTAAAAAATACAAAAAAAAATAAGATTTTTATAAAATAACTACCTTTGATGCAATATTATAATCTTTTAATACGCTAAAGAATCTATTTGAAATATTTATTTCATCATGTTTTTCATTTAACAACCCAAAATCAACTAGTATTTCTTGGAGGATCCAATCTTCATCTATATAATATGCCATAAGTGAAACGAAGGCTTTGTTGTTGGGAGATGTCCAGAGGTCTAACGTGAAAGAGATCTTAGAATTTATAGAAGAAAAGTATGCCTATAAAATATAAGTACTTAAAAGAATATATTTATCATTCTGGTTATAATGATCATAATATAATTCTGAAAAAAAAATGAACGAACACAAAAGACGAGCAAGGCTAAGCCAAAATTTTCTGATCAGAAAAAATTTTTTATAAAATTTACTATGTATACATAAATTTTTTTCTTCCACCCCTCCTTTTTTGAGAAAGGAATATAATATAAACCACTGAATTAAATTGGTCTGCCTTATTATAACCACAATTCCATATATATTATCCAAATAATCTGATTACTATAATTTTTTTTAATCCTCTAAGTGCAATTCGTTAGAACCAGACTTTTAACAATATGCGCTTAGAGAATAATTAAGAAAATTTGCATTTATAGAGATCAAACATATACTGAGCCAGAATTGAAGTTGTATTTAGAAAAAAGTTTTACTTAAAGTTGTACTTAGAGAGTGTTGATTGTATAAATATAATTATGATATTTACCTTCAATTCTTGTTTTCTTGAGTTATAAAGTGATATAATTGCATTCTTAATTGCATCTGCTTTAACTAATTATGCCTTGGAATTCAAGTACTGTATAATTTTGACAAATTCAGAATCCTTGATTATAGCAAGTAGGCGTTGACGATTAATAATCCAGGTGGTAAACATATTACGAAGTTTCATATTATTAATTTCAGCCAACATCGTAGTAGAGGAATCTTTAGAAGTCTTAGTTTTTTTTTTTAATTAGATTAATCTAAAAAAAAAAAAAAATAAAAATAAAAAGTATGAATCTACCTTTTTGAATAACCCTTCAATAGTACCATGTTCATCTTGCATTTTCTTTCTTTTTTTGCAATATTCTTCTGTTATAGCATACTATGCCTTATAAGCACTTTCTAAATGACACTATAATGTAGTAGTTGTACCACTATTTGCACAAGAAAATTCTTTTTTCAGACACTTTTTATATTTAGCTGGTTTTTTTTTTGTTTGCCAAACAACCTTGTCAAAAAAGTTCCACACTTTACTTTCACTGTTTCATTTGCTACTAGTACTGTTATTATCATAGACATGGTCATTATTATGGTTGCTATCATGATCATCATTATTACTGCTTGATACAGGATCTTCTAATTCTGTAGATAAAGAGCTCATTTTTACAGAATTGGATATTATAACCTGAGAGGTAGTAAGTATTAAAGATATATATATTTTTTATTTTTATTCTACATAAAGAAGATCTTAAAGATGCATATTTACAAATTAATTTCAGATTATTAGATCCAAGCTTCTAATATGAAAAGAATGAATAGAAATTTTTAAATAAACAATTTGCATGAGAATTATTTCTGTTTTTACAGAAAACAGGTATTCTTTATTATAATAAATTCAAAACTTTAAAAACTCTTGTTTACCCTTCTTGCTAAGTAATATATATTCTTGAAATTTTTTTTAGTTATTAACTTGTTCATATTAAAATCGATCAAAAAAAAAAAATTAATAACAAAGATTTTTCTAAATAATAAAAATACTATATTAATAAAATAGAACATCTATTCTTCAATTCGTCCTCCTTATAAAAATTTGAATCGACAAGGTTGTGGAAATTAAGGTTTATAATTACCTGATAGGCTATAAGATTAGATTTTGCATAATCAATATTCCCACATCTTATGACCTAACGTAGCTAAATTTGTTACACAATAAGCCTCTTCTAAACAGTACAGAAAATCTTAAATTTTATACAAAATAAAGATTAGCAAGTACTTATATATATTGTGAGAAGAAAAATTGCAGATAGTGTAGATAAATTAGAAAAAATTATATTATAAAAATTTATTGATATTTTCGTTAAAATAAAGTAACACTCTTAGGTAGGTGCATATATCAGATAGATTGTTAAATTACAATTCTAAGTTTTATAGTGCACGACACTTAAAGACTACACAAATTTCAAAATTTAATAACTTTTAATCTAGAAATGGTATCAAAAAAAGAAAGCTGCCATTTTGTAGTTAAACCAATTTACTACAACTTAGCAGCTTTATTTTTTAAAAAATTATTATATTTTATAAAGTTAT